CGCCCGCCGCACCGGCCCCGACCTCTCACTTCGCCGCGCCGCAGGGCCGTCCAGTGCGGGGTCGCGCAGCGCGAGCGGCATGTTGCCCAGTGCCTCTGAAAGCGAACAGGCGCGGCGCTCCTGCTGCGCGAGAACAAATGAAGGGCACGTGCGCTGGTCGACGGCGAGGGGCGAGTTATACATCCACATAGCACCTTGAGTGTGCAGCAAGAATGAATTAGAACAATAACGACCATTCAAGAGAGAAGCGTGATGCCCAAGCGGGAGAAACAGGAGGAGGGGAACCACTTTACCCACACGTAGGCTGTGGGAAAAACAAGAACACACAAGGAAACAACGACACATATCGAGACAATACCCGTAACGGTATCCATATTCCCAGCGCTGCAACGTGCTCCGCGGTCCATCGTCATCACCGCCGTCCCCCACATAGGTCTCTGTACTGCTCGTCCCCTCCTTTTCAGCATCATCAGAACCACTGTAATCCTTATTATCCGCATCACTTTCCCTCCCTCTTTTGTAACCGTTAACTCTTCCGAAGGCAGCAGGGTCGAGCAACATCTGCTGCTCAGCGCACTGCAGCGCCCACTCGCCCGTGACGCAGCGGCCATGCAAAGCCATTGGCTCTTCCACTACACTCGGTACCACAATGAGGGACGCCGCCTCGGCATGTTCAGTGGTGACTGAGCCCATTGCCGCGGAAATTTCTGCCACACGAGCCGCAACTTCAGGGTTGTCATGGATGCTGAAGAGCGTCAGGCCCTTCACGACACCCACCAGGGCCTCTGATGTTCTCTTGAGAAAGTACAACTCCGGCAGCAGCTGTACCTGCGCAACTGCGCAATCGAAGACCCACTTGCTGCTGACAACTCATTCGCCGAGGCAAAGGACACGCTCCGCCTCGTCGCCCCGGCCGTCACAGACCAGCACAGTTCTGCGCTGCGGCCCAATCGTTCTCCGCTCGTCCTTAACACATGCCCCCAAGGCGCCGCAGAAGATTCTTCAGATGCGAACGCGCCTCTGTCATACTACTAATCACGACACGGTATGCTTCAAGGACATACAGCGGCAGGTATGCATCCTCAGAATAGCGCACACCACTTTGGAAACAGTCATGCACCCAATCAGAGCTCATCAAAAGAGAGTCCACACGGCGTGAAACACCTCTGACAACGGATGGAGCGCAAACAACAGTGTGCATGACCGACGTCGTTGCACTGGCCAGTGTTCCACCAAGGAAGAGTACCTTATCCTGCTGTCTGGAGAGCATTCTCGCATCGCTAGCACCCTCAATAAACACACAGACGCCAGACAGCACTCTCCACGGATTCACACTGGCAGCCGGAAGAGATGCGGCATCCTCCCGACATTCGCGCCGCCGACGCTCCCGTCAAGCCATCTGAGGCCGAGTCGGCCTTTCTTCTCCCATTTGGTGTTCTGCAATCTAGTTCCTGCTGCTGTGGCCGTTGCTGCGGGTACCTCCGCACAACGGCTTCCGCCCCGCCGTACACCGTGTTGTGTGCCGGGCTGATTGCACGGCTGAGCAGTTTCCGGGCCTCGTCCCAGTCGAAGCCGCTCTCAACTGGAGGTCGCTGCACGTGCAGTGATGCGTTCAACTTCGTTGCATGTTTCAAGCACTGTACAAAAGCGTTTAAGAGAGTCCTCTGGCCTATGGGAGGCAACCCACCGTGTGAGGTGCTCTCCCGTACAACCATTGATGCCACGTATATCTTTGCAGGATCGGATGCAACCAGCGGCACCACAACGTCACCCAACGAATGTAAACTCTGTCGCAATGTACGACTCGTGTGGGGCGTGGCCGAACGAGCGGCTAATACATCCAATGACACCACACTGTAGGCACTGCCCACCCTCAACCATCCAAGTGGCAAAGCACAGCGCTTTCCGCCTCACGCGGTTGAAACATGGTGATATCACCCGCATATTCGTTGTAACTATCAGTTAATACAATAATATTGGGAAACTCTGGCGGTGGAGCAACTTCTGTTACGGCGGCTGGTGGCATACACACACGTTCCTCTATCTTTTCAGTTGAAGTATTTCCATTCACCACAGGTAGGATCTTCCCCCTGGAATGACTGCGCGACCTTATTCCCAGAAACTGATAGCAGGTGATGCAATTCCTGCAGTGTGCTCACCGCCGCACTGCACTTGTCTGGTTGTAGACACCAAATTCGTGGAAAACGAAGAAAGATGCCAGCTGTGTGGATTTGGCTGACGGAGATCTCTGCCCCGATAATCTCCATCACGTCAGCCTCACTTGGATCCCGCATCAGCATGTCCGGTAGGTAGGATGCACGGCAACTGAGCCACGGTGGGCATTTCCGATTCTTCACGGGCTCCATCGCACGCAAAAGTTTGGTGGAAATCATCGTCTGGGTAACAGCGTCCAGCCCGTTTCCGATCTTGCAGACAGTCTTGTACTTGCCGATAGCTGATGGTGGCGCTTCGGCATCCACAACAACCATCAGAAACGTTGAGAGCAACCCGCTTCTTCCCGCCGAGCTGTACCAGACGCCGAGCCGAATCAAATCCGCTGCATCCGCCATATCATAAAAAATGGTCTTTCTTTAGCTTTACTCACTGCCGCGTCCCGGGCTCGTAGACGCCCCAGAGGTCTTTTATGACTAGACCTTCTACACCTTTTGCAATCGCCCAACCAAAGTGTCGCTGCAGCAGCGCCTGTTGCTGGGAAGGGAAACCTTCGACCTGCACCAACTCTGAAAAGACCAGGCGTTTTCGAACCATGCTCCCTGTGTCTTTTAATACATCCCGACGTTTCTCGAGTGGCTCGTGCAAAAAGCGATACACCATTCTTGTAGAGAATGCCAAAGAAAAATATGCAAGTACTCGCTTCTGAAAATTGTGTCCCTTTGCGCCTACCAAGTGTACCGAATGGGAGGGGCAGAAAGGCCCACGAGTCCATAACAAGGATTTCACCGTCCAGAATGCACGAGTCAGCGTGTATGGCACACCTATTAAGTGCTGCGGCACGTCATCAAACCTATCTGTAAGCGTAGGCTTCAGTGACCGTGCAAAGCAGTACATTCTACTACCCTAGTTGTGGATCTGTATTCGATCTCCATCGTACTTCATCTCAGAGAATGCCCCATTGGGGAACATGCACACCACCTGCTCCACACTCTGCAACGGGGATGCCAGCATGGGCGCAATGGGCATACCGACTGAGATACCCGCCAACACATCGCATCCACGTTGCATTCCTGTTGGCAAAACCGCCTCCTCGGAATTCGGCAAAGTGGAAGAAGCAGGCATTGCCAGATTATCAGTACTGATGTCGTTCTTGACGCGTCGCACGACGTCACTAAGATTGGCACTGTGAGGAAACATTTCATAGGCGTATGTGTGGAGGCCGAAAAGCACAACTCAGGCACCAGCACTGATCCCCAGATTGTGCTTGACCTCACAGAAAAATATGTACACCACATGAGTGCACACCACTTACCGGAACAAAGAGATCACGGAAACGCGCTCAGCTTCATTGGATGCTTTCGACATGTCATCCAGAAATGGATCCAGTTCCTCAAAAGTGGGGCGACGCCTGCCACCCAGGTCTGTGATCACCTCTGGTACAAGAAAAGCCTTTGCTGTTTGCGACAAGTCTCTTTCAATAATTCCTTCTGGATACCAAAGACAACCACAAGAACACGCAGCAGCTGCTTATCCTGCACATTGTAGACTCGCTTCGCATTTGGTGGCAGTAGGTGCATCAACAGTTACACGTCCCCTGTGAAACAGGATATGAATGCGCGTATGGGTTGACTTTTTATGGTGTGCGAGGCCTCAGATGCAACATGGACAGAAAGCGAGCCGAAATTCTTGAGCCTATTTATCAATCTGCATATGTACCTTCACAAGATGTAGAGACATAGAAAAGCGCACCGGTGTATCTTTGTTTTTGTTGTTTGTTTCATTCCTTTAACACCACCACCAGCACCCCCGCCACACTTTTTCAAATACCCACACTACAGCCGATGATGTCAAGAATGAACAACCTTACCGGCGCCACCACTGTCAATTCGGTCCAAGTAGTTGGAGCCAGCTGCTCACGTCTGCAGGCACTTCTTGTGACATGGCCTCCGCCATTCTGTTGATAAATTGTAGTGTTTCCTCCGCATTCTTAAAGTGTATGTCATTCACTACAAATTTAGTCGCCACCTCAAAGGCCTCAGCGCTCATTTTAACACTTTGCATAGCCCTCACGAAACTCACTTCTTCCATCATGTGACGTGCTAGACTTCCAAGTGCAGCGAGGACCTGTGGGAAGTCTCCAAGGTCTTTCATCTGCATGCCGCTGCGGTAGAAATTCTTAAGCCATGGCTCTGTAGCAATATCAGCAGCAAAATGTATTAAGATGTACGGAATCCCCCTTACCCTGAGTATTGCCTGTTTCGCCTCGTCTGTGGTCGCCTCCCCGTCGGCATCAAGAAGACACTCCCGCAGGCGCTGAAAGTCCTTGCTGTGGTAGTGCACAAAGAGCAACTCTACACCCACCACTCGTGCCTCAGTCGTCCAGAGCTGTGCGCCGGAGTGCCAATGTCTGACAAGCTGATCCGCGTAGCGCGACAAGGGCGGGAAACGGGATGCCAAATAGCGAATAAAATACTTTTGCGCCTCTGTAGTGGGGTCTTCATTGGCTTCTGCTAGGCTTTGAATAGCACCAATGGCCACGTTCATTTTACGCGAGAGTGAGGCCGAGATGATTATTGCGGAAGCCGCTGTCTTGTCCCACCGAGCAGAAGAGTGCCGCATCCACAACCACAACGCTAGCACCTTTCGGTGCTCACCACCACGTGACAATAACGCAAGCACATGGCCATAGTCCCTTGGACTCACAAAGGACCTTTGCAAGGCAATGTCTAGCGCATCAGCTGCATTGCGTCTGTCCTCAACGTTGGCAAGATCACTTACCTTACACAGGGGGTGAAGCAGGGTCCCTGCAAGTTGGGGCGACTCTCGTACCTCGCGCATTAATCGCTGCTTCACCGCATGTAACTTCTTCTCATCTTGCACCCTCCCTGCAAGAGAGCAAAGAAGTTCACAGGATGTCACCGATGATACAGCGCGAATCGCCTCCACCATCTGCAGAAGCGCATCCGTCTCAACAGTGGTGTCTTGGGAAAGTAACTGGATGAGCTCCCGCGCCAAGCTGCGCGACGAGGGATGGGATGCTAGCAACGCTACCGCCCGTCGCGGCTCACCGCGCTGCACGTAACTCCTTCCCAACGCTGCCGCAATGGGAACAGGAAGCGGTGCGACCGGGTAGTGCGCACGAAATGTGGATGCCGCTTCTTGTACAGCCACCGCATTCTCCAACGCCAGCTTGTCACCACAGAGTAGGCGCTGGAAAGTGAGCCGCGTAGTGAAGCACCGCCTCATTTTTGATCCTTTTGTGCGTGCATGCGTTAAAGGGTAATGCGACAAAACAGAAGAAGAAACAAGAATGTGGAACCCACACAGAGGTACATTAGAGGGAAAAGAAAATAATGAGACCAAGAACAGCAACGGTTTTTTTTCTTTTATTGCCGCCTACAGGATCATACACACACACACACACAGTCTCTCTCTCTGACTTTGCCTGGAAGTGAACTCTGAGTTCTATCTATCTATCTATCCATCTCTAGGTAACCCATTGGGAAGAAAGGGTAAGTCGTGTCAACGTCCAGATGGCTCCTTCCCCTCGCTCACACTTAGAGCGGACATGATCCCCATCCGCTCCTCGTCCTGCAGCTGGCCCCAACACTCACGTACAAACTCGGGGTCGCGAAGACGTAGAATAGGGATCGCCTCACCAATGGAGGCTTCTAGTAATTCCATGACAGCTCCAAGACGATCATACAACATCTGCCGCTGACGCCACTTCGCTGTGGAAACGTTGGCGTTGTCTCCATGCGATAGCGACACAAACTTGTCCACTAACGCAGTACAGAGTTTGCACACCAGGGCCAGCGTCTCGTCCACATCGCTGTTCATGTTGTAGCCGATCCACTTCGCGGGGAGAAGGTCCTCCACCTCTTCAGGCCCGGTGCATCGGGCCACATTATTTTCCCAGTATTCCTCCTTCTCCGTCCATGACAAGTCCCATGTGTGCACTGCCGCTGACGTGGAAAGCAGTGCTGAGGCGGCGTTGGCATCCCAGTTATGCAACAGCCCGCCGCTGACGAGATTTGGATCCCGCAGGACCACTGTGGGGCCCGTCAAACCAGCAGAGTGAGGATTCAGAATCTTCATTTTCTCACAGCCTGTCATACGCTGTGGGTTGAGTGTGTACGGAAGTATCGACTGCATCTAAGAGCACGAGGGAGGCCTCTTCCCCAATTCAAGCACACTTTCCTGGAAAGGCAAGACCACAACAGGAGCGACTCGAAATACCACAATACAGCGGGAAGTGATCGTGTTGCAACGAGAGTTGCGGTGTCCTGAACTACCACAGGCCGGTAAGACTAAGGCCAACCCAATGCGAAACAAAAAACAAAGAACAAAAAAAAAAAACAAAGAACACAAAAATATATAAGGGCATCTGTGCAAGGATCCGCAGCCATACTTCCCCCACTCGCATTCATGTGTGCACCCACCACAGTGTGGCGAAGACGGCAATCATTGCTTGAATAGTCCAGCGGAGAGACCGGAAGGCGATGGAGGTCACGGCGACGGTCATGTCACCATCGCAAGTACTGCCGACGCAAGAGGAACGGTAGTAAAGCGAGATGCAATTCCGCTCCAGCTCATCAACCTCCTCGTCCGTCACCTTCATGCCACAATGGAAGGACTTCCTTCACAAGCATTTAAGCAACATCAGCACATAAAGAAGAGAACTGAAAATATAAATCGAAATTAAACAAGAATTTGAGCACACTGTATTCACTCCGGCACCAACCCCTCCCCTCTCCTTCTCGCTGAGAAGGGGCAAAATTAAGCAGTGTACATTGCACAGGAAGCACACAGCGGCAGAAGCAGCAACAACTGCTGCATGTGTGATTGTCCCCAGGTGTCAGCTCTTGAGCCCATTACAGGGTCCGACGAGATCCAAAAGAATAAGGAGATGTCACGCCGAACTGGTCCGGCGTCAGCAACTTCCCCGTCACAGGGCAGCGGAACAACACCCGCATCTCAGGCCCACGGTGCGGCGCAATGGACCGACGTTCCCCGTTAACTTTCCTGGATTCAATTTGGCCTTGCAGCGCCATTCGGTAGCTCTCCTGTTTTTGTGCCGCCCTTTCCCGGTATCTCTTCGCGTCGCGCCTCGCTGCGGCATTGGCATCCTGAACGAGACGCTTCTCTCGCGCCACATCGCGCTCCTTTTCGCCGACACGCGTCTCCTGTGCGGTGGTAATGAACTTCTTCAGGTCGTCGTAATAGCACCGCTCCTTCCACCGTTTCTCCTTCGCAATCTTAGAATCATCGCAACAGAAGAAAAGATCTTCGCGCAGTGACTTGTGCCGATGCGCTTGCGCCCCAGCTCTGCGTCGTGAAATGGCCTCAAGCGCCGCCTTGGAGACCAGCTCTTGCTGTCTGCGCTTCTCAGCCAATTGGCGATGACTTTCTGCCCGATCGAACCGTGCCACTCTCGCCATCATCTCCTTTTCTTGTTGCACCCTCCGCGCCGTTTCTTCGGCCTGTCGCTTCCTCGCCTCGTCAGCGAGACGCCTGTTTTCCTCCCTCAGCTTTAGCTCCTTTTCTCGCCGGGCATACCCATCACTCCTTGAACGCGCAAACCAATAATCATAACTCCCGTCGTATCCAACTTGTTGCGCTGCACGGGTTTCATAAGGCTCAGCACTCTTGCATCTTCGCATTTCTCTGAGCTCATTCTTCTTTCTCAATTCACGTATCCTTTCTTCTCCAATCAGTGCCTGAGTCCTAGCCACGGCGGCGTTCTCCTTCGCTCTTTCCTTCATCTGAGTCAGCTCTTTTCTCTGTTTCGCCTGCTCGGCAAGCTCTCGGTTCGCATCCACCAAGGCCAAGCACTGCGTCCGCATTCGCGACCCGTCCTGTGGAGGATTATCCCAGGGAAAGGCCGTGCAGGTGACTTCACCACGGGAGTTGGCCTCAGCAGCACGTTGCTTCTTGCGTTCCACTGCCTCCAGGGCGGCCTGTTTCAGATACTCACGTTCGGCTGCCTTCTTCTCCGCAATAGCAAAATCATCCTTTACGGTACTTGCTTCAATCCTTTTTAATTCTGCCGTCTCGCGCTCCAGACGTCTCTGCCGTTCTCGCTGTTTTTCCTCCAGCTTGCGCTGGGCCTGTTCCCTGTTAGCGTTCTGCAGCATGGTTAGGAGCCGTCTTTGGGCCGCATCACTGCGTTGGTGCGGTTGAAGATATTCAACATTGGGGGAAAGTTGGTAAAGGGATTCCTCCGTACGTCGCTTTTGTCCCTCTGTTATCAGCTGCATGTTAGCGGCCCCAATCGACGGTACCCTCGCGTTATATATTATGTAGTCGGTATCCGCTTGATTCTTTCTCCCCCTCACTTCCACCACCTCACCGGCAAAATCGGCGAGCGGTGCCGTGGGAATGCGGCGCTTTGTAGACCTTTCTGCAGCTGTTCCTTCCTTCACGGGCGGACGCTTGCATGGCGCCAGCACACGGTAGTTGCCGTCGCGGCTTCCGGTTACCTGCGGCGTTGGGGAGGCGCGATCGGGGACGGACACACCCAAGTGGTGCAGCAGCGAGAACTCCTGAGTCATAAGCCGTGCACGTATGTATGTATATGTGCTTGAATGTATGTGGGTATGTATGTATGCTTTTCTGTATGTTCTGGCTAGAGTAGATAGAGAGTAAGCAACCATAACAACTCCGAGCACAAAATAGAAAGAGGCTCTCATACAAAAGTAAAACAAAACAAAACACAAGCAAAGAAGAAAACCCATATTCACATACCAGTGAATACCAAATACAGAGTGTTGAAGCATGCATTAAATTTTGCGCGTGCGTGCTTCTGAGTGTAGATTAATGGTGCTCGCTAATGTGGTACCGGCAATGAATGACTCTTCAGTAGCTGACACATCCTTCGGTACCTTGATTTCGCATTCCGCACTTCTTGGGCAAACTCTGGGTCGTCAGTGTCAACCTCCTTCAGTGACATGTGGATATCACCAAACAATATTTCATGTAGAATTGATCCCAACGACTTCTCAAGGACCACCTGTGACCAGCTGAAGGCATGGTTTTCCTCACCAGGCATGATGAGTGGCCGCTCTGCGCAGGGTCCAATCTGTCGCAGCTCCAAGGTATCTTCTACAACTGCTAAGGCACATCCATAGTTTTGATTTAAGCCACAAAAATGCGGTGCAGAAAACAGCAAGATAAATGCTGGGACGTGAAGCTCATGGTGGATCCGCCCTAGCACCCATCCTGGAAAATATGCAGACTCACGATAATGATTTGGGCGCGTGAAGCTCTCAAACTCAGGACGATACATGTGATACTCAAGACCCCCGATATGTGTGTACATGTTGTTGTGAGACAAGAAATTACAAACCGCGTTGTAGGTGTACCTAAAGCAATTGCCTGTCTCAGTTTGCGTCCCCACAAAGGCACATCCAAGGGCCAACTTGTCTTCGTCCTCATCCATCGGCCGATTCTGAACAAACTCGCTGAGCCGCATTTGCGAGCGCTCTTGTGCGATATCGTCAAGATGGCGGTACTCGGACGCGAGCCCACCTGATGTGCAGAAGAAGCGTTTGTTCACAACACACACTACGGGGAGCTTGTCAAAAAAATCCTTCACAGCCCGCTCAAGTATATCCAAGGGAACCCGTAATTTAACGGACCGTAGGCGAAGTGCACCCCTCAATGATCCGAATCCACACGGAGGAAACGGGTAAAACATCTCATGCTGGCCAATCAGTGGCACAACAGCAGGCAAGTGCTGCATCATAAGCGCTATTATATACAGCATTTCTACAGACTGGTTTCCACCGTCTACATAGTTCCCGAGGAAAACAACGTTCAGCTGGCGTTTGACAGCTTCCCCGAGGACATGCATGCGAAGGTACTGAGCCAGATCCGAAGCATGGCCTCGACAAGGTCCTATTATTATAGTATCACCGGAAACCTCCTCCATCAAACGTCGATGTTCCCACAGAGCACCCGCCTGACGAAGTGCCTCCAAAAACTCGTCCGTTTCCACATATTTTCCGCACACAATAGCCTCCAAAGCTGCCATAACGATCCTGCCGCCACGCGCTGACATTGTTGCTCTTTGTTTCCACTGTCTCAGATGCACATGAACAGAATAACCTGAAAGAGAAAGAATGGAGAGAGAGAAAAAAAATGGGCACCACCAGTGGACGTGCTTAGTCCCCAGATACTGCGGCTTTTTTTGCACTTTTGTTTCTTTAGCTTTGAGGATGAAGTCACAGCGGCAGTGAGAATTGATCAGCACATCGCCCTCCATTTCGGCGTTGTCGGCACCACAATCGTCAGCTCTTTGGCATCTGATGAAGCAGATCGACAGCATCGTAGTAGACCGAGAGCAATGCGGCTACTTCCAAGAAACGTTCACACGTCTGCCGAGTAGGGGCTGTGGGGATGTACGTTTGCATGACATCCAAAACGGCTTGCTCCCTTGGCGCACCTATGATACGAAATTCAGAAAGACTATTCCGACGCGAGTAAGGTGCGAGGCGAAGTGAGTACACAACGTGGCGGGCATGCTTCGGGAAAGGCGGGAATCTGTAATAGCTCTTCAGACTGTCAAAACTCTGCTGCAAATCATACCGCTGTCTCTGTCTTCTACGAGGCATGAGTCTACACGTTGTAAAGAAGAAGACTGAATTAAAACACCAGTTATTTTTTTTTAAAGGGTGAAAAATACAAACAAAACAACACAAACGTCAAAGCTGGCACAAGAGTAAGCGCTTCATAAGGGGAAAAAGATATGCACACAGTTTTCTCATCTAATGTGGATATGTGCAAGGCAACTACAATCGCATTTCGGTATTCCTGATTCACCCTGTAAAAGAAATTTTGGACACTAATTTACCGACTTTTACTATTTGACCGCATGCGTGCTGCCAATTCCATATTGCGGTGCAGGAGGTACTGCTTCTGGCGTGTTCTCTTATACTCATAGCGCCACACTAATTCCTGATGGTAATGATCAACCACCCCTTGTGGGTTTCGGTCTGAGAGAAATCCTATCTTGTACAATTTTCGCTCAAAATCGCTCGAGGAGTGCCAGAGCGGACCCCAGCCAAGTCCTGCCAGCTCACCAGAATTCACGAGGAATCGCGTAAAGGCTCGGAATTCGTACTCATCAAAGTTTCCAAGTTGAATCGGGTGAAACAGTGAGTCCTTCTCCGCATTATACGGCGCGTACTCATCTAGACTGTTCGCGAAGCGGTCGGTTTCAACGTCTGGAAACCCACTAACACCATCAAATGGCTTAAAATCCCTTGTGGTGCAGGTGATGAAGAATTTATTCGGCTCGTCCTTTGAGAGAATCATTCTGTTCAGGCCACGGACGAAGCCAAGGCGGGAAGCTGGAATACGTGGTAGCTCTTGCGGATAAAGATCAACGTCTGTTGAGCCATCGTTCAGGGAAGCAATTGTGCGGAGAAAGTCGGGATGTGGGTAGCGGAAGTGCGTGTCATGTGAGAAAAGATTCCACCCGTCAACAACAATCACAATAGGAAGTTTTTTTTCTTCGCTTAGCTCGTCCATGAGGAACTTAATGCATACACTTTGGCGGTCGATGGAGGCCGGTGCCACGGCACGATAACCCCACTCACACAGTTCATACAAATTCTGCGGCTGTCGCTCCCCTTGCTCCACCGGCAGGTCTTTGGGGGTGCACTTGAGTCGCCACGATGCAAGCACACCGCGGTTGGAAGCTGCAAAATACTGCAGAAAGGAGCGTGCCGCGTCTGGTGCATCGAAGAATCCGGGCAGGATGGTGCTAGGCCAACACCACTCCCCGTGAGTCCACGCCTTTGAATCCGGTACGTACAGCGTCAGTAGATTTCTACAACGGGCAGCATGCACCACTTGGCACATGAGCGCACTTTTCCCGCATCCCGTTGGTCCGTCGACGATAAAGCCCGGCCTGTTGTTTGTAAGGGAACTCAACACGGAACGTTTCGTCTCCCAGTACTGTATCTTATCAATGAAAACATTAAGTAAGTGCGCCTCTTTGCGATACAGAAAGCCTCTCGGATGCCCCGGGGGCATCATCTGCATCACCTTTCCTCCTAAACCCTCTGGAAAGAACTGCATCAGTTCATCGTTGCCAATACAATACATGGAGTTGATGTCATTAAACGTGAGCCGAGTTGGGGAAATCTCCGGAGGGTGAGAATATGTTTTCACAACGGAGCGCACAGGCACACCTTTTTGCATTGTGCGGACCTCCTCAAGAGGAATTGCGCCGTTCCACATCGCCACCGGGGACTCACAGGCGTCGGTGTAGCACGTCACAGGAGGACGCACATACATGGAGGCCAGATTCCTCCCAAACACCTTTGAACGCATCGTTCTGTGAAGACTAAGTTTGCAAAAGCAAACATATAAAAGCAAAAAAAAAAAACCAACCACCACCACCACCAACAACAACAACAAAAGAATAAAAAAAAAACGAATCAGAAAAACGAGAGAAGTAGAAACATCACGTTTACACACTAACACAAACTATAGATTCTCGCTGTTGGTCAAGCATCCCACATGCTACATCAAAGTGGATCGTCTCAAACTGTCAGCATTGTAAAAAAACCCAAATAACAGAAAAGATGGGAACGAACAAAAATGTGCTATATACGTTCGGAACGGGTCTGGTTCCCAATTATTTTTGCGGAGCTGCTGAACGGAGGATTCTGCACCGCCATTTCTTGGTATTTGAGATCTTTCTCCATACAATAGGGTGTTTTCGTCCATGGAACCGTCATGTCCTCAGGTGCTCCCTTGTGAAGCGCAATGGTCCGGATCAATCCACCACTAGACCCATCACGGCTGTAGGCGTGTGCGACGGCGCGTTGGCAAAAACGAACACATTCCTCTTTCGACATACCCCGCTTGTAGTTGGCGTCGAAAAAGGAATACAAGAAGATAGACCCGCTGCCACCCAAGGCGTAATCCAACTTCACACACGAGCCACCAGACGGGATGCTATAAACGGAGCCCCCATTCACAGGATCATAACCTGCCACAATAATACCGGCGGAAATATTCCACTTGTTCATGTAGCAAAGTTTTTTGAAGATATTAGCTGCAGCTGCGACGTTGATCGGCCTTGACGTATCTGCCTCATAGCTCTCTAGGTAATTTGCTGTCCGCTCGGCCAAAGCTTGAGTATCTGCCGCAGATCCACTGCGGCAACAGTACACCTTTTCGCTCAACTTGGTTAATTTGTTGCTTGCACGGTTCACCACATAAGTTCCAGTGGAAGTGCGAGAATCCGCCGCCAGCACAACACCTTCATCATACGCAACAGCCATGATTGTTGTGCCAAGTGAAACTGCTTCACTTAGCTGGGGGTCCAGGACAGCAGCGTCAGGCTCAAAGATTTCCTTCGCGCATTGCGCGGGACCGTTCATTGTCAGCTCATGAACAATTTCTCCTGGGCACGACGGCTCGTGAAGGAGTGTCCCATGAGGCCGCTTTAACATCCTTTGGTTCACTGAAAAAAAAAAAAATGCTGTGTTTTACCTCTCTTCCGCAAGAAATATAAGCGTGTGGGAAAGAAAAAGGCAAAAAAAGAAAAGAAAGCGACACCACAATGAGGGAAGACAGTTCTTCGTGCCATTAGTCAAGACACAGCGGGATCATCTCACTTCTTACCATTAAACCTTTTCAAAATACATTTACAGGACTGTAAACGTTTGCTTCTTCTCTTCACCCACTTTATGGTCTGCGGGGTTTGCCATCGCCTCATACACAACGTTGGTGGCCACTTGTTGGTGAACCGGCCTTCCCGTTGATTCACCGAAAAGATCTATTCGAAGCAAGTGGGTTTCATCCTCACCAAAACTGTGCTCAAAAAATAGACACAAACTCGCGGTTGCAGAGAACTTTGCTGGATTCAGACGGTAGACAATTCGATCTCCGACTGGAACTTGTGCTAACTGAATCTCCTCCTGAGGATGCAGACGACGCACGGAGTCGAAACCCACAACATCGGTGGGATTGCAAAATAACTTTACTTGAGAAGGCGCAAAATCATCGTTGGTACCAAGGATCGAGACACCTCGGACACGGCACACCTGCTTCAGGGGTATGAGAAGCAGCAGCTCCGGGTCGGCATCGCTACATATGGGATCGTCGTTGTCCTCGGTGCTTGGGTCCAGGACACGCGCCGCCTCGGAAACGCTGTGCCTCGCATTCCACAGCTGGAGAAAATGCAGATCAACTTGTTCATTTAAAGGAGACCCCACACCCAAAACACCTTCGCGGGCGAACCCGTCTCGCAAGTGATCATGGGATCCTGTACCATGGCGACAGTTACAAGGCATCACAGTTTTGACCTAAAGAGCGAAAAGAAAAAGCGAAGAGGGTGCGAGCAAGTCGCTTTTAACAAAACACCAATGAAACCGAACAGAAAATAACACAGCAAAAAAAAAATTAGCCGCATCTGAACGAAAATCCTTTACCCGTTTTGTGACCGTTTAGGCATTTACTACTTGCGTCTTCCAGGTGCAAACCGTGCGGTATGAAACCTGAACATCTCATCTGTCACAGCAGAAGGAGGCATAATTCCTTGCTCAGAAAAGACAAGTGTAATCATAGACGGGGGGACAAACTCCACAAGGGGAACATCCTCGCATTCTTCTGGTTGTTTGAGATCTGCAGTACTAAGGGGGAAAATACGCGCAAACTTAAATGTTTCACAAAGCACGTAAAACGGAACGTTCATAGCAGACGCAACTGTCGCGATTTGTAGCGATCCAGTGGAGTGCACAAGCCCCCCGTGCTCGGTGACACAGTATGCCCCCGTTACCACAAAATCCACTTTGCTCATAACTGCACCCACACCTGCATCAGGAATAATAGTGCAGGACTGCAGCAGTTTCTCTTTTAGCCGCAACCCCTCTTGTGTCTGTGCCGCCTTCTCCAGGAGAGCTGCTCCGGTGCCTTTGGGATACTTCCCAGTAACAGGCCGACCCTCACAAATATAAAAGTGAACACCTTCTCTTTGTTGGATAGCGCACGCGATTGCAACAGCTAGCAAGCCCCCGGAACCGTGAACCAGGATACGAGATGTGCTTCCAACAAACGGTAGCATATCGTTGATTTGATCCTTTTGACTACACTCAAAATCCTTTAGTCTTGCCTCACAGCGTGCATTCATGTTTGACAAACTCTTTTTCAAGTCGTGGTGATTCGCAGCGTCCTTGGTTAAATGAACACGAAAGCGCTCAAAACCATCACCAAGTGATTCATAGGTCTTCAGTTTTTTGGATATTTCCTTGTCAAGCTCTGAATACGTAGAAAACTGCTTTGATACCAGCAGATCCTGAACCTCCTTGACGGCCCGAACCATCACGCTAATATCATAGTCATCGCGAGGGACCTCCATTGTTCTGAAGCATAAGTCATGGACAAGAGCAAGAAGAAAACAGAAAACATCACATGAAAAACAAGGCAAAATAAGTCATTTATAACCATTTTTCGCTTAACCAGTAGCTACACGCCGGCCCCTGGAGGGGTGACGGCACCTATGAGAGAAATGAACAATAAACCGTATTTACATTAAATAGTATCAATATATCGCAGCACCTCTTCACAGTAAGTGGGGTCCTGGTGTTTTGCCAGCGCAGCACGGACGAGATCTGCTGTGGCAGACGGTGAAAATGTCGCAATGTTCTTCAGCACAGCTACAAGAACCGGCCTTAGACCGACATTTTCATCCGAGTCGTCAAGGTGAACAAGTATTTTCTTAACCAGCGGCACCAACTGCACTATAATTTGGTCAATAACAAGGGGCGAAACGGCGTTCTTAGTTTCTAAAACTGTCAGCAAGCCTGACGCGGCTTTGGCACGGATGACGTCACTCGAATCATCGAATCGCAGCATAACCCACATTAATATGTCGTTAGCACTTCCTGCATTAACAGGCATGCGACAAAGATCCGGCGTACTTGTCATGCACACAAGTCGCATTTCTGCATCGTCTGCATCCGAAGCACTGCACCAAGCAGATACCGTTTTGGAAGAAAGAGCGTACTCATTATCCTCAAGCTTTGTCTTCAATAAGCCACAGTGATGATCTTCAAGCATCGCGCAAAGGCAGTTGACAGAAACCTTCCGAAACAAATGAGCCGTGCCCCCCGGACGAAACGCACTCAACGGAAGCACGACAGTTCGCAGAAGCTCTTCCAACTGAGACGCTGAGAACACATGGGTCTTCTGCCAGAGAAGCTGCTCTAATACCCGAAGGTAGTGTAGCTCTTCAGTCACAGATTTTGTGAAGTCAATGTCAGTGAGTTTCACAAGAAAAACCCCGGACAACTGCTCTGCATACGTCCCGATTTCCCCAGAGTTAAGAACAAGGTCGGAAAATGCACTTACCGGCATATGTGCCCCGTACCGGAACAGTATTCTTCCAAAATGAAGATCATAAATTCCCATTGACTCACCGGTGACAACCGAAGAAAGATCTTTGATACAATGAGAGACCCGTGTCTGCACACACGGAAAGTCAGATGACCGCAAGCATAGAAGAGCGTAAAACAGTAAAGAATCCAACGTTCTTTGATTCACATCGTCGCGAACCTCGGGAGGTAGCGGATTCGTGGGTGTCGGAATAAACTTTCGCTCACCCAATATGTGCACCATAACATCCAGTGTATCCAGTAAAGAACACAGAAGCGCCTCTGAATCACTTTCTAGAACATCACTGGATGTCATTGCCTTGACGATTTGTGTAGCCTGAGAGGCGGACAACAAATGCTTCGAGCCCTCTATGAGATAGCGGAATGCAACCAGGATACTACACTTCACGGAAACAGCTGCTGTAGAAAATATAGTCGGTGTGGGAGCGGCAACACCACCCACAGGTGATACCACAACCGTCTTTGAACGTGATTGGAGAATCACAGGTGTGTCCTCTTCATCTTGCTTTACAGTGTCTTTTGCCGTGAGAAATGGTAGGTACTGCTCAGGTATTAAGAACTTACCCAATATTTCCAAACAAATATGCGATTCTTGTACGACATCTTGATTGTCCTCTCGTAAGGATCTGTACAATACACCCAAGATCTGTTCAACAAACTGCACCACAGACTTCTCAGCATGGTAAATGCACATCCATAATATGCGCAATGCCATGACTCGTCTGTTGTTAGAAGAGAATGGTATAACCCAATCTATTGCAGTCACATCACCAAGAATTCTCTCTATAAACCCACGCAAAGACTCAGCAACAACATACCGAGCACCTAAGGAGGGACGCCTTTGTAGAAGTGGATAAACGCTTTTGTCAACCGTCAGTAGCTTCATATCTGGATACTCTTCATCCCCGTACCACTCAATATCTTTCATAGTCACTCTTCTTTTTGTTATGTCGATCGTATTGTCCTCATTATCAAGCATGTACAACTTTCCCATGTTCTCTAAAACTTCATACGCCTTGGTGGACACTGTATCAAATCGGTCAGTCATTAGCAGTAACAAATGAGGAAGCAACCGGCGATGCTGTTCCTGACGTTCCACAATATCCAAAAGGGCCACTGAAAGAAGCTTTACGACAGCACCACGAACAGATTCAACATGGTCATTCGCCAATACAAACAAAACAAATGTTGTTGTTCTGTTGTCGGGCTCGTCCTTGCCGTCAGCAAAAATCTCCACGGCACCACGCTGAACCAATGACGCCAATGTCAGTACAGCTTCAACACGGACAACACTGTGCTTGTGAAGAAGACAGCCTTTCACCACCTTCGCCAATGGTAGTGCAATGTGCTTGACTTGCACAGGCTCAATTTCACAGAGACAAACACAAGCACGACAAGCTTCCTTCTTCAACTCTGGAAAGGCATCGCGTAAACAGTTTTCCAAGAGAACTTGAAAAAAATCAATGTAGTCACGAGGCCCAATATCATGTGGAAAGCTTTCCATACACAACACTGCCAACCTTAGCAGTAATAGGCGTAACTCCTCACTCTCTTCCACAACTGGCGAGACACCTATCCTCGTCACCACGGCAGGTAACACCCAATCAAGAACTGAAGATTTCTGTCTCGGAAGCACGGTGGTCACAATCTTAATAGCGTACTCACGGCACCGCTCAGAACTATCCTCAAATCCTCGAAGGGAATTTCGAAGAATGTCAAACTCTTCCAATTCAGTCAAGCCTCCATTTGCACATAGTTCGTAGAGCTTGGAGTAGGCTGACAATCGCTTACCTCTGGCGGGATCAGAAAGCTCATTGAGGTGCTTTGGAAGGAGGTCCATTGACGCAGGCTCACCAGCAGGCTACTTTCAGCAAACAGTATAACTGAAACAGAGACAAAAAAAATCGCTCAGGCACAGTAAAACAAAAAAAAAAACTTCCACACAAAACACGCAACTCAATACAAATAAGTATATATGAATACAATACACAATTTCAAAAAAAAAAAAACGACGGCATTGTCCATACAGTCAGACACCACATAAGCGCTGGGCACTCAAAAACGCAGCCTGGGATTTAAAACAATATGTTCTACTTTTTGTTTGTGCCAGTGTGCAATGTCTACGGCATGGATTACATCCTAACAACTATGAAACTTTGATGAAAAAAGCAGATAAACCTCCGCCACGTTATCATGATCGGTTTCGCAACGTTCCAAATATGTCAAAGCGAGGAAAGCGCGAAGCACGCTTCGCATGGCCAAGGGCGAGGCCATCGAGAAGGCCCAACGCAGATTCCCAGAAAAAGGAAAAACACTCTTTGCAACGCCTATTCTTTCCTTTTCCCTCGGAATCCGCCCTCTTTTTTCCCCGGAAGCCGCGGACCCCCGCCCCCACCCGGTGCCTTTTTTTTTTTTTAAATGCCCCGGCTTCCCGCCCGCGCACGGCGCCCCGGGCCGTTTCGGCGCTTTCTTTGGCGAATCGCCGCGGTGGCGGGGCGGCTTGCGTTTCTTTGGGCCGCTTTTGCCAATGGGGGGAACAAGGCCCCACACCACCCCGCCGGATCCGGCAAAAAGGCAGCCGGGGGCGCGGCCTTTCCGGCGTTGGGGGTCCGGCCCAGCATTTTCGTGAAGGAGGGCTTCCCCAAATCCACCCGGATCGCGCCGCGGTGTCGTGGGGGGCCCTGTTTTGCGGGGTGGCGCGGCGGGGGCGTCGTTCCGCGGCCCCCGGCCTTTCCCAGGCGCGGGCGCCCCTTTTAGCCCCGCGGGGACTTCTGCAGTGTGGCGGGGGGNTCCGGTGTTTGTAAACAATTTCAAGCGACCCGTGCGTTGTGTTGCCTTATTGCTGCTCTGGCGGAAGCGGGTCGCTTTTCCCGCGCTTTATCGGGGGCCCGTGTGGTGGGGGGCTGGGGGTCCTCTTTATGGTGATTTGGATGCCTCGATTCTCCTTAACCGGGTTCTTCTTAATTTATTGCGGTATTTTTTGGAGAAGGGGTTCTCTCTTTTTAACTCGAGGGGGCTCGGTGTGGCTTTGTACCTTTCTTGCGTCGCTTTGTTTGTCTCTTCACGGTGCTTGTATTTGTGAAAATCCATAACTCCAGTTTTGCCCATGCTGCATGTGCCCCAGTAGCGACAAGGGCAAAACTGTGTGCCAGCAAGACGCCGTTGCTCTTGCCATTGTGCGCTGCCGTAGATATGTGCTGGGTAGTTCTCCAAGACGCAAACGTTGCTTGCGCTTGGCTTCTGACGACAATACGGAGCGTACTGGACCCTGATACCACTGTTGGATTTGGCTTGCACCACTAGGGAGAGAGACAGTGGTCTCTCGTTACCTGTCGTGCCTTTGGGTCGGGCTTCTGTGCTATTACCGATACCCAATGGATGGTTGTCGGCGCTTTGCACAATGATTGTCAGTTGTTGATCCATTCTGGTAGAAATTGGTCAATTCCATGGATCTTGAAATATGAAAAGGAGCTGTGCCACTTTGCTTTCGTTTTTTGTGCTCCTAACATTTCTCTTTTTCCCTGTAAGTGTGCGTCTGTGTTCTTGACTGTTTGTTATGGGTTTCTTATTGTGGTTCTGTCACATTTTTTTGTATATTGTGTAACGATAAGTCAGTCTACATGCAATACAACTTTTGCTATGTCGTTCGCGTTTTATAGACCAATGTGTTCTAAAGTGCAGTTCGTGGCATTCTGCCGAGGACCTCAACGATCCATGTGGATGCTGGTGATACTTATTCTATTCTTCTCGTTACTGTACGTTTCAATTACATTGGAAACTGAATTGTCTGTGACGGAAGGGGTACTCAAGCCCGGTACACAAACTCCTCAGATTCTTCTCTCAACGCACACCCCAAGAGTTGTCTACATCGTTGTTCAGACGAGAGCTTCTCCTGGTTGGTGCAGAATGTTGGTGAGTTCTGTTCTCTCCAATGTGTCAGTGGTTTCTATTGGATTTGGGAGGAATTACACGCATGTCGACCGTCAAGCATGGATACTGGAGTATCTGCGTCAAGAGGGTCTGCGAGACGACGATGTGGTGGTGGTATTCGATGGCGCAGACACTCTCTTCACTGGCACCGACAAGATTCAGCGTGCCTTGGAGCATTTCTTAACCACAACGGCACCCACCGCTGATACTTTTGACGCTACAGCGATACTTCAGGGGAAGATGTCGTCTCCTATGCAATTTTCGAGCGATGCACTCTGTTACGCACCACAGATACACCTGATTGTTCCTGAGGGGCCAGAAAGACCGAAGACAAAATGTTTTTGGCTATATGCACGTATGTGGAAGGCTGTACTTTCTCCCAACAATCAGTACCTTGCCAATCTACAACGGAAAAAGTATCGTTTTCTTTGTGCTGGTGGCTACGTGGGGCGTGTGTGGGCGGTGCGCGCTGCGTCGCGTGCATACACTAGCCTCGTTGCGTCACGCAGTGATTGGTGGTGTGACCAGAGCGTCTGGACGTTGCTGTATGTATGGAGCCTCGGTCAGGATTCTGGTGTGGCGTCCAACCTGCGCCTACCGCGTGGCATTCTGAGCCTTGACTACAATCACAGTTTCTTTTTCGCTCCTTACAAGAGAGCTTTTGCCATTCCCGCCATTCTCCACTTGCCTGGTAAGGCACGGGGGTGGCGACGCCACTTGTCTCACATCCTACAGCGCGCCTCGTGGGTTCATGAGGTGTACCGCACTCCGCAAGCTCTGGCGGAGGCAAAGAGCCTTTTTCAAAGTGGTACGTCCGTAAAAGTACTTGCACTCGATGGGCACATGTATAATCACCGCTTCGGTGATTTGTGCCCCGCTGGTGATGCACTGAATTTCAGTTGGCTTTCGTATCCTCTGGAAAAGAAATGAGTCTTATCTTTCACAAAAAAAAAACAGGGAAATTCTCAGGAGACTGTCAGGCAATTAGACGTCTGTTCACTTATCATTATACCACGTTAATCTGTTTGTTTGCTTCTTGTGTCGTTTCAGCTATTTTCGAAGGGTAGGAAGTAAAGAATAACTTGCTTCTTTTTTGCCATCAGACACACCGCCAACTTCCCCTCCTCATGGCGGAGTCGTTTGGATCGGAGGATCCCAATATCTGCCATCCCGTAAGTCTCTGGAAAGCAGTGTGATTCCACATCCCTTCTGTTGCCGTGTGTGCTCGAATTGTAGATGAGGGACACCTGTAAGTCATTTCCTTCCTCATCTACTCCTCTCTCTCTTTACAGATCCAAGAAAACAGCGACTAAACACCGCATATTTCCATTGACAGAGCCATGGAGAACACAGACGCAAGCGGGCAGAACAGTGCTTCCTCGAGCGACGATCCCCCTCTTGCGCAGGGCCATCTGCCTGACGAATCCCAACAGACATTCGGAGGCTTCACCATCCAGTCCGATAACGTGGTTTTGGCCGACAAGCGTAACAGATTGGCGGCAGAGGTGTCAGCAATGGAGAATAAAAAAGAACAATTACAAGAGAAGCTATTGAGACGGCGACGCTCAGACGACACCGGATTGAAAACTTGTGCCATTGGCAGCATAAAATTCCTCCCCATGGAGGAGCTGTGCGGCATTTGCGAGATTCATATTCTTGGGAAGGTGCTTGGTGACAACGACCTCAAGGCTCTCCACACATCTAAAAAACTTACCCGAATCAGAAATTCCAAGTACCGAGGCGTCTGTGACGTGCAGCTGCTGGCCGACTTGAAGCAACTACAGGAGGTGCACTTGGAAGTTGATGGTGAGATACGGAACATGACCTCACTCAGTCGACTACCAGAACTGAGAAAGGTTTTATTGAGCAACCCAAACATATATGATAGCGACATGCATTGTCTGGGCCTCCTCCAAAACTTGGAGGAACTCTCTCTTCGAAACTGTTACCGCGTTACAAGCTGTCAGCGTATCAGTCAACTTCCACTCCTTCGGGTGCTTGATATCAGCTTTACGAGAGTCACCAATGAAGAACTGACGGGCCTCAGCGCGAGTCGCAGCCTTGTGAAGGTTGTGCTCCTAAACTGCAGGCGCCTTACAGATGTGTCTCCTCTCGCATCCATCCGAACATTGGAAGAGGTGTACCTGTCTGGGTCTGAAGGAGTGAGGAGTTTTGGTGCCCTTGGAAGGCTGCCTGTCCTGCGTCTGCTTGATTTCGGATGCACTGCTATTACCGACGAGGAGTTGCGGTGCCTCAGTGGAAGTCGTAGTCTTGTGAAGGTTGTGCTCCGACACTGCAGGTACCTTACAGATGTGTCTCCTCTCGCATCTGTCGAGACACTGGAAGAGGTGGATCTGTCTGGATGTGAAGGTGTGAGGACTGTTGGTGCTCTTGGCAGGCTGCCTGTCCTGCGTGTGCTTGACTTGGGATCTGCTGCTATTACATACGGGGAGTTGCAGGGTCTCAGTGCGAGTTGCAGTCTTGTGAAGATTGTACTCCAACACTGCAGGTACCTTACGGATGTGTCTCCTCTCGCATCCATTGAGACACTGGAAGAGGTGTATCTGTTTGGGTCTGAAAGAGTGAAGATTGTTGGTGCCCTTGGCAGGCTGCCTGTCCTGCGTGTGCTTGACTTGGGATCTGCTGCTATTACTGACTGGGAGTTGCAGCGTCTCAGTGCGAGTCGCAGTCTTGTGAAGATTGTACTCCAACACTGCAGATACCTTACAGATGTGTCTCCTCTCGCATCCATCCGAACACTGGAGGAGGTGTACCTGTCTGGGTGTGAAAGAGTGAGGAGCTTTGGTGCCCTTGGNACTGCAGGCACCTTACAGATGTGTCTCCTCTCGCATCCATTGAGACACTGGAAGAGGTGAAGCTATATGGGTCTGAAGGAGTGAAGATTGTTGGTGCCCTTGGCAGGCTGCCTGCCCTGCGTATCCTTCTCTTGGGATGTGCTGCTATTACAGACGAGGGGTTGCAGGGTCTCAGTGCGAGTTGCAGTCTTGTGAAGATTGTACTCCGAACCTGCAATCACCTTACAGATGTGTCTCCTCTCGCATCCATCCGGACACTGGAAGAGGTGTACCTGTCTGGGTGTGAAGGAGTGGGAAGCTGTTGGTGCCCTTGGCAGGCTGCCTGTCCTGCGTGTGCTTGACTTGGGATACACCGCTATTACCGACGGGGAGTTGGAGGCTCTCAGTGCGAGTCGCAGTCTTGTGAAGATTTTGCTCCTAAACTGCAGGCGCCTTACAGATGTGTCTCCTCTCGCATCTATTGAGATACTGGAAGAGGTGAAAGTCTATGGGTGTGAAGGAGTGGGGAGCTTTAGTGCCCTTGGCAGGCTGCCTGTCCTGCGTGTGCTTGACTTGGGATGCACTGCTATTACAGATGAGGGGTTACAGGGTCTCAGTGCGAGTCGCAGTCTTGTGAAGATTGTACTCCGAACCTGCAATCACCTTGCAGATATGTCTCCTCTCGTATCCATCGAGACACTGGAAGAGGTGTACCTGTCTGGGTGTGAAAGAGTGAGGAGCTTTGGTGCCCTTGGCAGGCTGCCTGTCCTGCGTGAGCTTGACTTGGGATACACCGCTATTACCGACGAGGAGTTGCAGGTTCTCAGTGCGAGTTGCAGTCTTGTGAAGATTGTCCTCCAACACTGCAATCACCTTACAGATGTGTCTCCTCTCGCATCCATCCGGACACTGGAAGAGGTGTACCTGTCTGGGTGTGAAAGAGTGAGGAGCTTTGGTGCCCTTGGGAGGCTGCCTGCCCTTCGTGAGCTTGACTTGGGATGCACTGCTTTTACAGATGAGGAGTTGCAGGGTCTCAGTGCGAGTCGCAGTCTTGTGAAGATTGTACTCAGTAACTGCAAGCACCTTGCAGATGTGTCTCCTCTCGCATCCATCCGAACACTGGAGGAGGTGAATGTGATTGGGTCTGAAGGAGTGAGGAGTTTTGGTGCCCTTGGCAGTCTGCCTGTCCTACGTGTGCTTGACTTGGGATCTGCTGCTATTCCATACGGGGAGTTGCAGGGTCTCAGTGCGAGTCGCAGTCTTGTGAAGATTGTCCTCCAACACTGCAGGTTCCTTACGGATGTGTCTCCTCTCGCATCCATCCGAACACTGGAAGAGGTAAGGCTATCTGGGTCTGAAGGAGTGAGGAGCTTTGGTGCCCTTGGAAGACTGCCTGTCCTGCGTGTGCTTGACTTGGGATCTGCTGCTATTACATACGAGGAGTTGCAGGGTCTCAGTGCGAGTCGCAGTCTTGTGAAAATTGTTCTCCGAACCTGCAGGCANTGGGATCTGCTGCTATTACATACGAGGAGTTGCAGGGTCTCAGTGCGAGTCGCAGTCTTGTGAAAATTGTTCTCCGAACCTGCAGGCACCTTACAGATGTGTCTCCTCTCGCATCCATCCGGACACTGGGAGAGGTAAGGCTATCTGGGTCTGAAGGAGTGAGGAGCTTTGGTGCCCTTGGAAGGCTGCCTGTCCTGCGTGTGCTTGCCTTGGGATCTGCTGCTATTACATACGAGGAGTTGCAGGGTCTCAGTGCGAGTCGCAGTCTTGTGAAAATTGTTCTCCGAACCTGCAGGNTGGGATCTGCTGCTATTACATACGAGGAGTTGCAGGGTCTCAGTGCGAGTCGCAGTCTTGTGAAAATTGTTCTCCGAACCTGCAGGCACTTTACAGATGTGTCTCCTCTCGCATCCATCCGAACACTCGAAGAGGTGAAGCTATATGGGTCGGAAGGAGTAAGTAGTTTTGGTGCCCTTGGCAGGCTGCCTGTTCTGCGGGATCTTTACTTGAAATGCACTGCTATTACATACGATGAGTTGCAGCGTCTCAGTGCGAGTTGCAGTCTTGTGAAGATTGTGCTCCAACACTGCAGGCACCTTACAGATGTGTCTCCTCTTGCATCCATTGAGACA